ATGTAGATGTTGCATTTTTGTGCGAAGTTCAAATTTGTCTTCTCATGATAATGTCACCATGTTATAGAAATACATGTGGGCACATCCAGTGACTCACTTAACAGTTGTGCTATGTTCTAAGAGTCAGTACCTGTCATCAACGAATGAAAAGCAAGCTGAGAAATAGAATCTAAAAACTCTCTCTGGAAAACACTTGTCAGCATTTTCAAGTAACCTTTCTACTAAAATCACTTGGTAGCACTCTCCAAAAGCTTGCCTAGCATTAATATTTATTGCTTCCCCTCCCCCTTTTAATTGTGTGTTAGAGCTCAGATCCAAGTGTACGTAATTAGTACTCCAACCCATGGCCACCACACCTCAATATTGACAGTCAAATATTAATATAGAACTTCTTTCAACTTTGAGACTCAGGGATCCTCAGGATTATATTCTTTCGGCGCCCCAAAAGAATCCATGTGTAAAGATTTAGCAACTGTGGATGTCACAGCTGAGTGTGAAACTGAGTAGTGTAGTGTGTCCCTGTTGGGTCCAAGTTTCTGATATTTGAACAGTGTCTGGAAAGTATTTGGAGGCTTATAAATCTAATATTTGAATAGTGGCAAACATGATTTTATCAGCTTTCTGTCTAAGTTTTAACTTCCATGGCATCTGAAAAAGGTAAGAAGTAAGAATGATATGTCTGCTGTCGGTACAGAATTAGGAAAACCACGGTGGTGATTCTAAAGTAAGGTTTTATCTGTCTAACATCACAGTGATGCTTTAAAACACATAAAGTGGCAGGTAAGACTCACCAACAGATTAAAAGACATGGAAGAGAGAATCTCAGGCACTGATGACCAGATAAAAGAACTGGGTACCTCATTTAAAGAAAATGTTTAATCTAAAAACATCCAGACATGGAACATATAGGAAATCGAAGACACTATAAAAAAACCAAATCTGAGAATAACAAGGATAGTAGAGGGAGAAGAAATCCAGGGCAATGACACAGAATATATTCTCCATTAAATCATAGAAGATGTCCCTAACCTAAAGAATGGGGTACCTATCAGCATACAAGAAACATAAAGAACAGCAAATAAGCAGGACCAGGAAAGAAAATCACCTATGACATATAATAATAAGAACACTAAATGTACAAAACAAAGAAAGGGGGAAAAAGAAACCACATATAAAGACAGGCCCATTTTAGTAGCACCTGACTTTTCAGTGGAGCCGTGGAATAACAGAAGGGCCTGGACCAATGTTTTACAAACTTAGAGATGTCAGTCCAGAATACTATTCCCAGCAAATCTATCAGTCACAATCGACAGAGAAAGAAAAACATTCCATGATAAAAACCACAGTAGTTTCTATCAATCCAGTCCTACAGAAGGCACTAGAAAGAAAATATCAGTCTGAAAGGTTAATAACACTAAAGAAAACACAAGGAATAAATAATCCTAGCCCTTGTGGCTTGCAAAGTCTCCATTGAGAAGTTAGGTTCTATTATAATGATGATACTTACATCCTCATCAAAGGAAAAATCCACCAAGAAGATATTGCAATTATAAATATTTATGCTCTAAATACAAGGATATCCAAGTTCATAAAAAACAAAACAAAACAAAACACTATTATATCTAAAGTCACATGTTCTGGTTGGTAACTTCAATATCTCACTCTCATCAATAGACAGGTCATCTAGACAAAAACTGAACAGAAAAATGTTGCAACAAATGACATCATAAACCAAATGAACCTAACTGATACTTATAGAACATTTTACCCAAACACCAAAAAATATACCTTTTCTCAGCAGCTCATATAACTTTCTCAAAAAGTGACCACATACTGGGACACAAATCAAGTCTCAACAGATAGAAGAAAATTGAAATAACACCCTGATTCCTATCTAACTACCATGGATCAAAGCTTGATATCAACAACCGAAACAGCATAAAGTATACAAACTCATAGAAACTGAACAACTTTAGAAATGTGTATCTTTGAATTACTCTAGCCAAGCAAATGAAAGACTTGTACAATAAAAACTTTAAGACACTGAAGAAAAAGACATTAAGACATCAGAAGATGGGATCATTAGAATTAATATAATGAAAATGGACAATCTATCAAAAACAAGCTAAGATTCAATGCAATTCCCATCAAAATTCCAACATAATTCTTCACAGAAATTGAAGAAATAATCTTCAACTTAATATGGAAACACACACACAAACAGGATAGCTAAAATACTCTGAATAATAAAAGAATTGTTGAAGAAATCACCATCTCAGATTTAAAGTTGTACTGTAGATTCTATAGTAATAAAAACAACATGGTATAATAGGCCTAAAAACAGACACACTTATCAATGGAATCAGAACAAAGAACCAGATATAATAAGTCCACACACCTTCAGACACCTGACTTTTGATTAAAAGAAAAAGCCAGAAACATACACTGGAGAAAAGACAGCATCTTCAACAAATGGTGTGCATCAAAGTGGACAGCTCCTGGTAGAAGAAGAATGCAAATAGATCCACATTCATCACCTTTGAAAAGCTGGGTTGAGCACCTCAATATAAGGGCAGATACACTGAATCTGACAGGAAAGAATGTGAGGGATAGACTTGAACTCATCGGCATGGAACAGGACACCACAGCACAGACACAAAGACCAACAATAAGTGGAACTTCATGAAAATGAAATGCAAAGGGCACCATTCAAAGAAGAGACAAGCTAGTAAAAAAAAAAAAAAAAGGCCCGTCTCTCTGCAGGCTTCCTTTGCCATCTGCATTTGTTAAGTGAGCTTCTTTCTGAAGAGCTTTCAAATCTCTGATTTTCTTTTGCTGTTGCTTTCATTTCATTGAGATAACTAGAGCTAGATGTATATATTTTTCAAATCACAGTAATAATTGTCATAATTCATTGACATGTGACTACATTTTATAGAGATCACATGAATGTTAGGATTAGTCAAGGAGACAGATGAATAATTACCTTGAGATTCTGAAGAATTTATTTTCTTAATGTTACCATTATTTTTAAATAAGCATCAAGTGATGTTACAGGCTGAAAGGGAACCAGGTGGCTGGTGTGTGCTTGTAATCCCACCACACAGGGCTGAGGCGGTCAGTCTAGGATACATACGTAGTGAGACTTCATGCCTTCTAAGAATTATTTCCTCACATTTCTCATGTAGAATTAACAAGGTGGTGTGTGCTCACTCCCTCAGTGCTGGTGATTGGTTCCCAGTGCTTCAGATGGATGATTAGTTCAATTCTGCTACTCTGTAAGAGTCATTTTAATAAAACTGTTATGAGCTATACATACACATATATATACATATATATGGTGTAGAAATGCAGGTGTGGAAGCTACAGCGAACACTATGGGCTGTGAGTAATATCTACAATTCTACAATCTGAAGAATGACTCCAGGTTACCTGATGTCCCATATAATTCTTTGGCATATTTTAATTTGGCATATTTTAATGTATGAAATCCTAATGAGATTCAGAAAGTAAGATCAGACTGTCAGTTTTAGTTATTTTCTGTCTTTGGTTGTTTTGCCTTCTTATATGTGTACCATATGCATGCAGTGCCTTGGAGGCCAGAAGAGGGCGTTGGATTCCCTGGAACTGGGGTTACTTTGGTAGTAAGTCAAGATGAGGATGCTGGGAATTGAACCCCAGTCCTATGAAGAGCAGCCAATACTCTTAACCACTGAGCCATCTCTCCAGCCTTCCATAGTTTGCCAGCAGTAGGACAATCACCTCCAAGGTCATTTTCTTCACATAACTAAAGAAAGAAGAACCTGGCATGTTTTGGGGCTAGTGAAATGGCTCAGAGAGTAACTAAAAGTGCTTGCCACTTTAGTGACAATCTGAGGTCAACCTCCAGCATCCACAGGGTGGCACATGTGTCCCATGCACAGAGAAGGACCTGGCATGTTTTAGATACCTGATACATCAGTGTTCTCTGGCTTCTGTTCTTGTTAAGGTTGCCATACTTCTTGAAGCTGTATCTCAACTGGGAAAGCTTAGGAAGCCATCACATCCACAGGCTATTCAAACATCATATCAAAATTGTCTTCTTCTAATGTTAATTTGTTTCTGCACACACTGTGTCACCATTTTGGAAGTAAATATCTTAGCTCTCCTACTATTCAATTACAGATTTTCAGAGACTAAATAAATGGCAGTGAACCGTTGTAGTAGGTTCACTTATCCCTAGCATAGGAATGGACTTTGGGAGCCTATCCCACATAGAGGGATACTGCCTGAGCCTAGACACACGGGATAGGCCTAGGCCCTATCCCAAAGGATATGACAGACTCGGGAGACCCCCTATGGAAGGCCTCGCCCTCCCTGGGGAGCAGAAAGGGTTATGGGATAAGTAGGGTGTTAGTTGAGAGGGGGCAGGGAAGGAGGGGAGGGAGGGGGAACTGGAATTGACATGTAAAACAATCTTGTTTCTAATTTAAAAAAAAAATAAGAAAAAAATAAATGTCAGTGAACATCGGAGCTCAATATTTAAGGAATAGTGAAATAAAACCTTTTTATGTGAGAATGTTCTTGTAATATTTAAAATTGCCTAACACATACCAAGTGAGGATTAGTCTAAATAGTAGTATTAAGTAGTTAAGTCTCCTGGGTCATGTTCTCTATTGGGAGGACTAAGGTAAATGAGGAATTTTTACATTTATTTATGTATTGTATGTGTGGGAGCATGCACATATCTCAGCACCCTGTGAGGATTAGAGAACAACTTGGGGGAGTTGGTTGTCTCTTTCCACCAGGTGGATTCTAGGAGTTGACCTCAGACTGTCAGTCTTTGGTGGCAAGCACTTTTATTTACTCTCTGAACCATCTCACCAGTTCTAAACTAGTTTTATTTGTTAATTTTGCTTGTGTGATTTTTGTGTAACTGAATATATATTATGAAAAGCCAAATGGTACACGTTAAGTCTTTTTTTTTTAAATATTTTTGCTCATGCCCTATGATTTCCAAGGACAAGGATAAGTTAGAGAAACATCCCTTGGCACAGAGAGCATCCCATCGTCAAGTCAAGCAGACAAGCTCTCTACCTTTACAACTCCAAGAGCAAGCACAGGAGCCAGAGATGAACATGTCTTCTGATGGAGAAGATACATCCAGGCATTCAAGATCTGCCAAGGGTCCAGGGCTCAGGGGAGCATTGATAGAAGGAGACAAACTAGAGGGTAAAGATGCTCTACAACTTGCCATAAACAAGCTAAACCAGAAGGTTGGTGAGATTTGTGAACCTGTCAAAAGTAATGTTCACCACGAGAAAGAGGGATCAAATGATGTCTGTACAGGAAAACCACCCCTCAAGTCGGCCTCCCCTAAACCGGCCCATGATCCGCTTGACTGTGAGGACAGAGATGGAGCTGCAGCACTGGTGTGTGAGGCACTGCAGACCTTTCCCGGACAGAAGGAAGGTGGCCTTGGAAACGTCTTTCCATCTCCCTCATCCTCTCAAGTCATGGAAAACTGTGTCCAGTCAATTACTAAATTTCCCTTAATGAAGAATAAATTAGACTGTGAAAATAACAAGTTTGAAATAGAAGAATCCATTCCTAGATGCAAGGAGAAATTTAAAAATATAGAAAGTAGAAAGATAAGAGGTAAATGCCCAGAAGTATGTATGAGTGAAAAGCAAGAAGCCTGTGAGTTCAGGAGCAAGTTGCAAAAAACTATGAAACCAAAACGCATGGACTGGCAGTTAGATATCAGACACATGCCAAAGTCCAGTGAATCCAAAGGGCTTTCAGACTCCAAAGAAAGGAATCACGTGAGTGAATTAAAAAGTTGGGATGATTCTACCCTTCGAGACACTTACAAGAAAAGTAAAGACACAGGGAAGTCACTCCACAGCAACTGCGAAACTCCGGTGCACACCGCTGGAACCATCAGTGCCATGCTGGCTGGTGGCCGGACAGCAAGCGCTTTTTCAGATGAAGATTTTCAGGACAGGCTGTATGATAATGAGTTCCACATATTGGAGGAAGAGATCCTGGCCTGGGAGAAAGTCCACCTTGAAAATGAGGTAGTTGCTCTTTTGCTGACACAAGTTTCATTCCGATTTTCTGTTAATGAAAACTGTTCACGGGGCTGGAGAGATGGCTCAGGGGTTAAGAGCACTGACTGTTCTTCCAGAGGTTCTGAGTTCAATTCCCAGCAACCACATGGTGGCTCACAACCATCTTTGATGTGATCTGGTGCCCTCTTCTGGCACGCACTGTATACATGATAAATAAAATAAATAAATAAATAAATAAATAAATAAATCTTTAAAAAAAGAAAGAAAGAAAACTGTTCACTAGTAAAAATCAGGTTATGTATGCATGATATTTCATAGCCATGTAGATGGCTCTATTTCTTAAGTAATGGAACATAATGCCATGACATCAGCTACTTCAACCACCTTGAATATCATTTGAGATACTAGAAGCACCTGGTATTTTGTAAACATTTAATAACTGATGGGTTTTGTTGTTGTTTGGTTTGGTTTGGTTTTTGGTTTTACAAGACAGGCTTTTTCTGTGTATCTCTGGCTGTCCTGGAACTCACTTTGTAGAGCAGGCTGGCCTCAAACTCACAGAGATCTGATTGCCTCTGCCTTCCCAGTACTGGGATTAAGGGCATGTGCCACCATGCTCTATATAAGTAATTGTTCTTTATTTAAGATTTTATTTATTTATTTATTTTTATTATGTATACAACATTCTGCCTCCACGTATGCTTGCAGGCCAGAAGAGGGCACCAGATCTCATTACGGATGGTTATGAGCCACCATGTGGTTGCTGGGAATTGAACTCAGGACCTCTGGAAGAGCAACCAGTGCTCTTAACCTCTGAACCATCTCTCCAGCCCTAAGTAATTGTTCTTAACATTCCTTTTTCTCTAGACTTCAAATACTCTGTGGTCTTTATGTAATGGAGAAAAAAAATCCCATGGCAGGTCTAGTATTTGCATGGTGGTTTTTTTTTTTTTTAAGTGTGTATTTTGCCTACACATGTGTCTAACTAGAGTTACGGAGGTTGTGAGCTACCATGTAGGTGCTGGGAATTGAACCTGGGTTCTCTGGAAGACTGGCCCAGAGCTCTTCACCACTGTACCATCTCTCCAGCCCCTCTCAGAGGTTTTACACATGAAAGGTTTTCTTACTAATTTCACATTTTAGTCAACCATGTCCCATCAGTAATTTTTCCACTGTATATCTAGATGAAGGTTCTACCACCTGTGCCTATGTTCACCAAGATGTAGTCTACTTCCTCTCATCATGGCAAGTATGGAGCTTTACTACCAAAGCAAAGCAGGCTCATGAGAAGCAGTTGGGTGTTTTCTGGGTATGGTTGCACAGGCTAGTAACCCCAGCACTTGGTAGGGGTAAGGTCAGAGTACAATGTGATGAGGCCACGAAACACTAAACATTGTGTTTGAAGTCAGCCTGAGCTACATAAAAAGATACTCTGACATAGAATGTTTGTCTGCCCTCATCTATATTAAGGGCAGTATACATATAATTTTTATATAGACATTTAATTTCATTGCCAACAAAGATCAGAGGCAGGGATCCTAAGTGTGGCTCTTTGTTGAGATGTGCAGGCCTTCCAGTTTTGGTTCTGATGGCCATGGACCCCATGATCAATATGCAATGCTTGGTTACCATATGAAGAAAAAGTATTGACTTGATCTAGAAACTGTACAAAAGATGCTTCATAGAGATGTTCTGGAACTCAGCATACACCTAATTTTAAAACATCGGCTTTTGAAATAGGAACTTCATCAAGAAGTTATTAACTTGTATTGTCTTTGGATCTGGTTAATTTTGGTGTGTGATATTTTTCATCTCCAATGTTTTTTTTTAATAACTAAGGAAAAAATAAGTAGGAAAACTTCAGATACCTTTGTATGTAATGATTGAATCCTTGCAGACTAATTATGAATATTAATTTTTTTCAGAGTGTCTCTGAGAATCTGCCAAACAAATGTGAGGAAATTGCATCTAATGCCATAGATCCAAAGGGGAAATACATAGAAAACAAACACACAGGAGGTAAGAGTGGCTTGTCCTGGAAGTCACGGGAAATAGTATTCACCCACTGAGTGACAGAAATGTGACCTACAGAAGAAGGAATGTATCAACCAAATGCATAGAAATGAAAGGAGAAGAAAGTGGGAATGGGGTGTGGGTCACTCCAGGACAACCAAAAGCACCTCTAAAATACTCGTTACTAGTTTCACGTCAAGATATTCTGAGAGAAGTTAGGACTTAGAAATGAGAGGGAGGATGGAGGGAAGGAAAGGCCAATAGGGCAGGTGTGGGTGCAGGGCAGGAGGCTTTACTGTCCAGTGAAGGGAGGATTAGAACCCTTCTTCACAAAGACAAATACCAGTGCTGGGAAACACAGGAAGAACAGCCTGGGAGACAGCCTCCAGTCTCAAATAGAACCAAGTCCTCTCACTCCTGTCTTCCCCACCGTTGAGATTCTCCCAGAAACCTAAGGTGCCAGGTCACACACAGTTGTGTTAAATTTTTAATCACAAATTAATTTAAATGTGTGTGGTCAGCTACATTGGTATACAGTTTAATGTTTTGGAAAATGTTATTTCACATTATTTCAGTGGCTTGGAAGAAGAAAAAGTAGGATTTGTCATAAAGACATAGGCCTTTAAAAATCTTACCACACAGTTTAAAATTCCTTTGGCAATCTTAATGTGAGTTGTCTGATAAGGGCAAATTGAGGCTGGAGTCCAAAATGGAATGGTGAAGACTTTGGAAGCAGGCTGTTGTAAAACAAGGTTTCCAATCTCGGAGTCACCAGGCTGAACCGTGCAAGCACACATATGCTGACCAGCTGTATCGTCCATCAGCTTAAGCTCTTCTCCAATACCCAGTCTATATAATGTCTATGATCTAATAAAGCTTACCTGAAGATCAGACGAACAAAGCAAACAGCCACAAGAGAGTTCTCACCTCCACCAAAGCTCAGACCGAAGGGCGATCATCTCCTCTGATTGCATCTCCAGAACGCACTGTTCCTCAGGCTGCCTAGACCGCAGTGCTCTCCACCAAAAACCAGACTGCTCTCTCTCTCAGTCTGCACTGAGCTCCTTATAGTCTCTCTAGTGCCAGGATTAAAGGCATGAGCTCTGTTTCTCTTTTAGACTGATTCATTCTCATGTAGCCCAGCATGGCCCTGAACTCAGAGATCCATCTGCCTCTGTCTCCTGAATCCTGGGATCAAAGGTGTGGTTGTGAATTTGTTTCCAGTTCTGTTTTAAAGTTTTGCTTCTGAGGATCTTGATCACAAAGCCAAGCCTTTGGGTTTGTAGGATCTTTCCAACATGGGTGACGAGAAGCTACTCTCACCAACCACTGTCTGAAACGCTGTTGTCTGGGATACTCAGTTTTTCCCATTGAGAAGACTTCATCAAGGTGTGTGTGTGTGTGTGTGTGTGTGTGTGTGTGTGTGTGT